TCTATTCGAATCAGTGACTGAAGATCGACGCTTTGGATCATCAATTTTAGCATGTTAAATTTGTTTCGTGCAACCAGCACTTTCTATTAGCTGGTCCAGCCACTCAACTTTTAGAATAAATTTGAACTTGTCCGTTTTGGCAACATAGTGATTTTTGACAGACCTTTCCACAAACCAATGTGCATGTATTGTTGGGAAATTGCACTAGGCTGGCGAAATTGACAAAAGTTCGCGTGCCTCGTGATTATACCACTGTCATCAAAGTTCTGTAATGAAAGGAACCTTTGCAAGGCAAATATCGAATTAAAGAGTCAGTTTCGCAGTTTGATAGTGTTTAGCAGTAATAATTGCCAGAAATTTATACCAGCTATTCAATAGACACCTCTTCCTAGGGGTCAGGGAAAACTTATTCTACAAAAAATATTTGCGATGGTCCGCTGTATGTTTAAAGTGTCGTGCTGGTCTTCTCAGCCAGTTTCCAAGAGATTTGGTTTTGCTTGTATCGTTATATCAGACACAGGGTCGCAAATAGTGTCACTAGTCGCACCTATGGCGTAGTTGTCATGTGCGCCTAGGTGTGCACCAGCGCATAGGTGTGCACTAGCACTGCAAAACACACGCGCTGCTAGAAACTGTCTTGCAACCCCGCTTGAATTAAGTGAGGACAAGCTTAGAGTTCAAGGATGACAGCACCTTAGGTTGAGAGTACTATGGAGAAGATGCTTTGCGTCAGCCTGTGACATTCATAGCCGTTCATGGGTTTGTTTTGTTTACGGCCTCGCCCCAAGTTATCTCCTCCACTGCAAGTGCATAGCTGCTGACCTTCGTGCATAATCTTATAGCTAGTCTGGCAATGTGCGAGGTTCACACTTTGCTGGGGCACGGTGTGCTGGTGCCAGCTGTAGAGCTCCTCACAACAAGAAGGTTCTCAAAGCATATCTTGGCCCTAACTACGGAGCAGTGCAAAACATATTGAACTGTGTGCGATATCGTTCTTCTTGTAATACGATTTGCAAAATGATAAGTAATGGGCTTGGATGCATATATAGGAATGGCAACCTAAACAGAGTGAGGTGGCTCATGGAAAGAGGTGACGCTAGACGAAATAGCGAAGCTCATTCGACATCTGATTTATGGAGCGATTGTTCACATCACGGGCATCCATCTATATTGGAACAGCTGGTGGCTTTTATGCCAATAAAACAACAGTTTACTAGGCAATGTGTACAAGTTAACTTGTGTCTCACAAAAAAACCAGCCAATGCTTCACTGCATGGCACGAGCAACGATTTTTTTTTGTTTGTGTGAATAGAAACGTTCTATACAACATTTATTATTTTTTATACCATTCCTGGATCATTTGTCTTCAAAATTTATGTTCTGAATGTTCAGTGTTTTCAATATTTTTGCACATATAGTGTTTTTTATTGCACTGTTTACCAACTGGCAATCATAAGTTATACCCTTTTCACATTTTTATTCATGCCAAAATATTTTCGTTGGTCTATAACATATTTTTTTTTGGAAAGAGCATTTCTTTGCACAAAATTTAGTATGCTGCAATGCGTGCTGGAGTACTTTTCGAACTGGTAAAAACGATGTTACTGAGACAAATGAAAAATAACCATTTTTGTATGGTAACAAAAGAGTTAAAGCTATTCCAGGAAGGTGGCTTCCCAATGGCTTGATGAAACTGATGATTGGCTGACGCAGCACTCTTTTCTTTGTTAATCTGAAATTATTAAACTATTTCCCTGGTTAGTTGGTTTCAGCGATGAAAAACCAGTGTGGTGTTATCAAATAGTGGCAAGCTGCCACACTGAGAATAGTGTTCCTTAAGGTGGGAATAATTATTTTTTGTGAAAGATCTCTCATGTTCTAGCAGCTTGGTGTTCAGACACTGACTAGTCTGGCCAATGTAAACTTTCTCTCACGATAGGGGTAAAAAAATACAACAGATAATTTGCATCTAACAAACTTTGTTTTTAGGCTTGTCTTCATCTGTTGACATTAGCTTTTTCCGTCACCGAAAGTTTACAGTCCACTTTTGCACATACTTTACCAAGCGTGTTAGGTGCCGAAAAAAACTACTTCTAAGCCAAACCTATTACCTAAGTTTTTTAAGTTGTTTATTCTACAAAAAATATTTGCGATGGTCCGCTGTATGTTTAAAGTGTCGTGCTGGTCTTCTCAGCCAGTTTCCAAGAGATTTGGTTTTGCTTGTATCGTTATATCAGACACAGGGTCGCAAATAGTTATGTGCACATATGGTATAGAGACTACCTTTTTTTGGTCGTCAGTTGTTGCTGCTATTGTGTTCCTACAGTCACCTCGTACGTACCTAATCAGCTTGTTTGCTGATCTACATAGCAGGTGTTTTTCATACCCTGCATTTATTAGTCTGCTGATCTGTTGGCTAAAGCTTTCGTTAAGCTTTTCTAGGCACGACTTGGTCAGGGCTGCTCTCAGACATGAAAAAGCTATACTACCTTCGCCGCCTAAGAATGTGTCAAACTGTAGCTAAGTAATGGTTTGTCCATTCGTGGATTGTATGAAAAGCATACGTGTCCCACTGTGGCTGCTAACTCTGCTTTCAAAAACTGCAGTTTATCATTATTTGGTCACTAAGTGGTGAAACCCAGGCCTTTACTATTCTTTTGAAACACTCATAAAATTTCTGCCGCTCTTCTTTCTAGATCAACAGTTTTCACAAAACCAAAAATCATCAACAAAACGGAAAAATTTTAGTGCCCGTACTTTGAGGTTCAAATCAATAGCCTTGTCCAGTGTAGTTAAATAAATTGTGCTCAAAGCCAGGGCTACTTTTGATCCTAAAGTAACCTGGTGCACTCCGAAAGCTGCAAAGCAAATGGCAAGCGTATCTGGGATATAGCCAAAAGAGAAAGCTGGACATGCTACATATCCTCAATAAACTCCTATGCAGATGCCAATAAGGTGTATTATAGGGTTCATAAACTCAAAGGACAATTCCCAAACCCCTTTGCTATGGCCAATGACACCCGTGATAAAATAGAAGAACAAGGAAAAAAATTATACCGGTAAGTTTTTACACCATAAGAGCGTAGCTGAAAGCATACCTCTGCATCCGAGCAAACTTGTATCAGATGAATACAATCAACCACTGACACTCCGTGTAGTGAATCTTGCCCTTCGCTCCTGTGGAAGCTTAGCCCCTAGTTCTGACACAATTACCTGCGAAATGATCGAAAATTTTCTCAACAAAACCATAACTGCCGCTTAGCCCTTTACAACAAGGTTTTAAAAACTGGCAAGATATCCCCTGTTTGGAAAGAGGCAATAGTGCTACCAATCCTCAAACTGGGCAAAACTCCTTCCTTTGTGAACAGTTACAGGCTCATTGCACTCACCAGCTGCCTGCTGAAAATGCTTGAAAAATATTTAACTGCAGTTTAGTCTATTATTTAGAATATAATGGTACCCCTGTTAATCTGGCTTCTGAATAGCTAGGTCCAAAATTAATAATCTTGTCCTCCTCGAGTCATATATATGTAATGAATTTGTACACAACCCATACTGTCTTTTTGTTTTCTTTGATCTTGAGAAAACATGGTACTACTTGGCGATTGGGAATCTTGCAAGACTCATTGTCCTTTATAATATGTAGTAGGTGGAATATGTTGTAGGCTGATTAACACCTTCAGAGATTACCTATCTGTAAGGAGGTTTCGTGTGAGAATAAGCAGTGTATTATTGTCCACGTTTCTTCAAGAAAATTGAGTAGCACATGGAGGAGTCCTAAGCTGCATACTTTTTATAATTAAAATGAACTCTCTTTGCAAATGAACTCTCTTTGCTCTGTTATTCCACCTGCGATATAATATTCTGGTTTGTGAACAACATCCAAATATATTTCAAATTTTGTAATGTGGCTATATGCGAATGGCAGATACAGTTTTTTTAATTTTTGTATTTATTCAATACTGCTAGCAACCCTTTGGTCGCCAAGACAGGAGTGGTTCCAGTGCAGTGAGCGTTTAGATCAATTACAAAATAATATCATGTTACAAGTACAAAACAACAAGGAAATACATACAAACATCAACAAGATAATCAATCCGTAAAGTCAAGCGTATTGATTGCAAATAATAAAGCACACACTCACTAAAAAAAACTATGAACATTCAACAATAAATGAATTATTATGTAGTAAAAAAGCATACCCAGTGATCACAAGTAGGGAACTATAGCCGACACAAAAAAAATCAGGTGTTGGCATCTTTACCACCTCGTGTGGTTGCCCATTCTACTCTGCTATCGTTTCAGGAAAAAAAGAACCCTTGTACATATGCATTCGTTTCGCATTGAGGTACCAAAATAGTCTTGCTGGGTCTTGTTCGGGTAGGTCGTGACCTGTTAAATTTTATTTATGTCTGAAAGTCTAGTTTATTGCGGTTGTTAACTACGTTGAACACCATCTTGAGAAGGTGCAACTTTCGCCATTATTCGAGAGGGCAAAGACCAAATTTTATCTAAAGAGCTGTTACAGGCATGTCTTACTATATTTATTGTAAACAAAATGAAGCACTTTTCTCTGAATACACACTATGCGATTGATCTCCGTTTTGGGGTATGGATCCCAGACTACATCTGTGTACTCGAGTAATGGGTGAATGAGAGATGTGTATGCAACTAATATTATATTACTGTTACAGTGTTCCAATCGATGTCTGAGCAACCGGAGCAGTTTTAAAGCTTTAGCGACAGTATTTTTAATGTGCATATTACAATTTAACATAGAATCTATAGTTAAGCCAAAGTATTTAAACTTATCAACCCGGGTGACTAAGTTATTGTTCACATTGTACGCGTAGGGAAGTGGGGATTTTTTACGTCTTATTGACATCTAGGCACATTTCGCAGAGTTGAAGGTTTTCTTCCACATATGACACCAATTAGTTATAGCCATGAAATGGTTGTTTAATGTGGCTTGGTCCTCAATCGCCTGAATATTGTTACAGACCATGCAGTCATCCGCAAAGAAGCGGCTGCATACAGAAGAGTCAAAAGCCAAGTCATTCAGATAAACAAGAAAAAGAAGGGGCCCAAGGACCAAGCCTTGAGGTAAACCGGAAAGCACTGGTGCTGTTTTAGACTTTGAATTTGCTATCTGGGCGTATAGATGGCGGTTTGATAAATAATAGTCGAGCCACTTTACAAGTTGAGTGTTTTTTAAAAGACTTCTAAGCTTCGTCTATAAATTAGAACGGCACTCACAGTCGAAGGCTTTCTAAATATCGAGGAAGATTAGATCTATTTGCTCTCTTTGTTGAGTGTTGCGATAAACTAATTGGTAATATGAAGCAGTTGTGTCACCATTGACAGGCGCCGGCGAAAACCATGTTGGCTGCTCACGTGCCCAAAAATAAGTGTTCGATTACCTTGTTGCTAGTGCATAACAGTGAAATCGGTCTATAGTTTGTCACAGAATGCTTATCACCAGATTTGTGGACTGGTATCGCCTGTGCCATTTTCCAATCTGCAGTAACTTCCCTCTTATCGAGACTTGCACTAAATATAACAAAAAGATATATCGCGCATCATTCAGCGTATCTGTGAAGAAGGCTGTTTGGGATGTCATCCGGTCCAGATGCTTTCTTTGTGTCGAGGGTACGAAGAGCTGAAAAAATGCCCTGTTCGCTTAGAACGAGGTCAAGTATATCGAGACCTCTGCAATATAATTTGACAACTGTGTTTGTGCTACGTAGAAATACACTGGAAAATTGCTCATATAAATCTTGTGCTACTATACATGGATCCGTTACATCATAGTCGTTAAGGCAAAGTTTACTAACAGGGTCTTTCTTATCAGTCAGATGCATCCAAAACTTTGGTGGATCTCTAACAAGAAAATTACACATTCTGACATTAAAAGAACTGATACTTTGATGTTCTAATCTTTTCGAGTAATTTGTCGCAAAGATCCTGCAAGTTCTGCTTTTTCTTTAGACTGCCCCTTGACAAATGTTTGACGCGGCATTTTAGTTTAATACTTTCACGGGTAATCATGAGATAGGGCCTGCTTACTTTCCTAGTTTTAAGAGCAACATATTCTTTTATACATATATGAATAGTGCTGTGTTGGGGGCTGGCTGGTCCCGACGAAGCAGAAGAAGAAGACAGCCGACAGAGACGTACGCGGCCGGCGGGGACGCCGACCAGCCCGAACACGCGGGTTGGCGCGAAACGCCAAAGGAAAGAACAACAACCGCACTCCACGGTTACCCAACACACACTGTCTTTATTTTACAGTCGCCTTGAAATCCTAGATGCCAGAGCGGCGCTCCCTGGCATCCTCACATGTCAATCCGAAACCGAAACCGAAAACCCAGAACACAACAATCATCCCCTCCTCGAAAGAAGCACACCTATACACTGTTTATATTTATACATGCTCGATACCAACATATTTTACAAGGTATGTACATTAGAACACATGAAAATTCAAAGCACGGCACACCGAACTCACACACTACAAGTCCTGAAAATGCACTGACAAACAAGAAAAAATGTACACAACTGTTCGGAACAAGAGTTCTACATCACGTAGTCTTCGAACCGACGCGGCTTCTGCCGCTTCCGCTTAGGGCGGGCCCTTTTGGGTGTAGAATCAGGTGTCTCTGCACCTTGGTCACTTCTGCTCTGATGTGACACATCAAGAGCAGTGGCTTTGAACGCCGTGAAGGCTTTGAACGAGCGTTAAAATTTGCGGTCTCATCAGAGCTCGCAGCATGAGCTTCGGAAGAATTTTGCAGACCGGAGTCCGGTTCAACGGTCTCAGCCGAATTTGAAGGTTCGAAGTGAACCGTATGACTTGGTGTACTTGAACCAGCGACACCGACTGGTAACTCCTCCCCCCTTGAAGAAATGCCTGTACATGGAGGCCACATGTAATAATCTGATGGATAGTTGAAAGGCGCGGACGAAACGTGATGGGGAAGACTTTTAGGTGTTGAAGGCGACTCCGTATGAAAAATAACAAGGCGCGAAGCATTCCAGATGTTACCATCACTGAAGCGAAACGAAGTGGGGCTAACCTGGCCCAAGACTTTGTAAGGACCCCGATACTTGAGGCGCTTGCCTGGCACACAAACCTTGACTAGATCGCCAGTGCGAACTTTGGACTGCTTTGCACCTCGACGGGTGTCGACATACCTTTTCATTGCTTGTTGATAAAAAACCCTGGTACGGATTTGATCAGGCAAAGACACTGGTATGTTACGAGGCAAAGAGACTATGTCGAGAGCAACTCGCGGTTGCCTACCGTGGAGAAGTTGAGCAGGAGACACTCCAGTGGTGCCTTGTGGTGTGAACCTGTACGAAGCTAAACATTCAGTGAACCTGTACGAAGCTAAACATTCAGTCAAGACTTGCTTGAGGGGACGGTGCTCTAATTGGGCGATCTGGATATGTTCCTTCAGAACGCGATTAAAGCGCTCGATTTGGCCATTTGATTGGGGATAAAAAACTGATGACCTCAAGTGCTGAATTCCTCGTTGTGAAAGAAAAGCCTCGAAATCTTGGGACTGAAACTGTGGACCATTGTCCGTAACTATGGCATCAGGAAAATCTTCCCGGCTGAAGATTGAAGACAGAAACTCAATGATGACCTCAGAAGTAACCGTATGTGTGAAACAAATTTCTGGCCATTTGGAATGGTAGTCGATGAGAGAAACAATGAACCGGGCATTTTGCGGAACATTATGCAAAGGACCGATGATGTCCATGCCGAGTTTCTGCCAAGGCCGATCAGGCCACTGGACTGGCTGCAACAGAGAAAATGCAGGTTTGTCAGCTGCCTGACATATATGGCAGTTGTAAACTGCATGCTCGACCTGCTTGTCTAAGGCTGGCCACCAGTACCTGTCTCGGAGATTCTGTTTGGTTCGGACAATGCCTGGATGGGCCTCATGGGCAAGCTGTATTAGCTTGTTACGGAAAGAACCAGGGGGAATCACGCGTTCATCGCGGAAAAGCAAGTCCTCGACACAAGACAGTTCCTGTCGGACTGCGAAGTAAGGCAAGAATTCAGAAGCAAGAGCACATTTGGAAGGCCATCCTTCACGTAAATATTTGAGAACTTGAGACAAAGTGGAATCTGTAGCTGTAGCTGCCTGCCTGAAGCTCAGCTTTAGTAATGCAGGAAGTAACTAATGAAACAAATTCCTCATCCCGCTCTTCAGTAACCGGTATCTGAAGAGGAAGGCGCGACAGTGCATCAGCAACCACGTTATTAGAACCTTTGCAATATTGAACACTGAAATTATAATACATAAGTTTGGCACACCAACGGAAAATGCGAATGAGGCGGCGGCCTTCGGATCCTGCAGAAAGAAGAGCAACTAGTGCTTGGTGATCTGTACGTAGTGTGAAGTGCTGGCTTCACAAGTAAACATGCCATTTCTCACAGGCAAAAAGACACGCGAGAGCTTCACGCTCTCCTACTGAATATCTGCGTTCAGCAGGGGTCAATGTACGAGATGCAAAAGCGATAGTGATCAGCTGATCATCTCTGAGTTGTTGAAACACTGCTCCCAGTCCAACATCGGACGCATCTGTCGTGATGGCGATGGGAAGCGTCTCATTGAAAATACTAACAGCTGGCTTTGAGGCCAGTATTGACTTAACTTGAATGAAGCTCTGCTCAGCTTCAGCTGACCAGTTAAAAGGCTGTGCTTGATGAAGTAGAGTACGCAGTGGTTCAACAACATCAGCATAGTGAGGAAGAAACTTGGCATAATAACCAACAAGACATAAAAAAGATTGCAAGGTTTTAACATCGGTAGGCCGTGGGGCATTGACAATGGCCTGAACTTTAGATTCAACAAGTGTCAAGCCGCGGGAACTGACATTATGTCCTAGAAATTGTAACTCATTCACAGAAAAAATGCACTTGTTATTAAGTTTCATACCACATTCACTGATGCGGTTGAGAACAGTATGCAAGTTAGCATCGTGCTCTTCGCGAGTACGTCCCCACACCAAAATGTCATCCAAGTAACAAAGGGCACCATTACAACCCTTAAGAATAATTGACATCATTTCCTGAAACACTGCAGGAGGGGCAGATGCAAGCCCGAAACACACGCGGCGAAACCGAAACAAGCCTTCGTGCGATACAAATGTGGTTAAGTCTCTACTGCACTCAGAAAGTTCAACTTGGTGATAAGCGGACGCGAGGTCCAGCTTGGAGAAACATACCGCTCCGGAGAGCTGATGAAGCAGTTCTTCAATGTGAGGAAGTGGAAAACCATCTACGACGATCGCCTTGTTCGGTTCTCGTAAGTCGACGCATAGTCGAAGGGATCCATCTTTTCTCTTGACGACGACCAGTGGAGAAACCCAGTCGGAAGCAGAGACAGGCTCGATGATTCCGCTGGCTTGAAGGCGAGACAGTTCCGCAGAGACTTGCTCACGGAGAAGAAGAGGAATGCGGCGCAGCTTGGCACGCACAGGGCACACACCTGGTCGACGCATCACTTTATGCACAAAACCGCGCACACTACCCAGTTCACGGGTGAACAGGTGGTGGAATTCAGAAGGCGCGTTGGCCGGAAGATCATCTTGGACGTCGACTTGAGCATACGTCATAGACGCACCGACGATGTTGATGGACAAAGCCCTGATGGCATCCGTGTCGCCCCCGTGACGCAGAGAGGCCGCCATGTTGGCTGCCACGAAAGGACTGTGCAGGCGGGCGTCCACGTTCGCCGCCGCGCCGAGACGAAGATGAAGGGCCGCCATGTTGACGCGTCCCGTGAAACAAAGAGCCGCGGCCATGGCCCCCCGCAGCAGAAAGTTGCTGTATTGAATGTGAAGTGAATTGCTCCAACTGGGAGCGAATAAGCTCGTCCTCTCGCGCAATCGAGAGGGCTTCGGATAATGAAATCGAGGAGCCCTTTTGAAGCATGCGGCAGCGGACGTTTTGCGAGGCTACCCCGGTGAAAAGCTGATGGCGGATTATATCGTCTTCGAGCGCCCGAAGCCGCACGACGCGGCGAGCGTTCGAAGAGAAGTAATGAACTCGGCGACTGGCTCACCAGGCAATTGTCGCCTTTC